GCATGCATCAGGACCACCTGTATCTTTGGGATGGCTGAGGGGCAGCACGAGGCTGGCTGCTGCTTTGTCTCTGACCCGGAGGTCTCATGTCTCCTGTTTGTGTACACATGTAAAATGGTTGTAGGTCAGTACAGTCATGAGAGAGCAGACTCCCAGGCCCTTCCAGGCTCTGATTCCACTTTACCCCCCCCCCCGGCATGTGCATGTGTGCAGTACAAACCTGTTACATTTGCCCAGTCACAAAAAAACTAGATGCCTGTTTTGTCCCACACGGACAAAAAATAGATAACCACTGTACACCACATATGTACACAAGACATAGACTTATCTCTCACCATATATTAAACATCACCAAAAAATTAAACATCAGCTTAGGCCACACACCAAAACCCATAGCCTAACATAGTGCAAGAATTTACACCAGATACCAGTCTTATTCTAGGCGCATACACAACACAGAAGAGTGTCAGACCCTACACAAAAAATTAGACATGCATTTGATCCTGTCTTACACCACAGATACATAAAACATTGCCTACTTCACACCACAGACACAAATGAGGAAACCACCTCCTTGAGCCTCTTTCTGAGATGACCAGGTTTGAGGGCAGGGACAGAGGGACCCGTGGAGTCCTTAGTGGGGACAGCAAGCTGGCTGCAGACACTGGCTGCCTCAATTTTGGGGTTCATATGGGCCCCTGTGCTGGACTGGAGGGGATGAGGAGGGCACCAGGGCCCACTCTGTTCGGGCTACTGGACCAAAGGTGATAGTGATCACCTCCCTTGGCCAATCAAAACGTAGCCACAGGTTTGTGAGTGGTGTCCATCACTCGATCCCTTCCGTATCCTTGAGAGTACAGTTGTCTCCTGTTTTTGGAGTCTGGATCTTTCTGTGCTGACTTGGCCTGTGCTGTGAGGTGTTGTACTGGGCTTTTAGCATCTAATCCAGAGGAAGAGGGGCGGGTCATCCCTGCATGGAGGGAGATATGCTGTGCTGCTGGAGCCAGACAGCCCAGGATGGTCAACAGGTGTATGAGGGGAGTGTGGGCACACAGGTGGAGCCTGCCTGGCAGGCCTGTCATAGAGTAGCCTGAGGCAAAAGGCTTCCACTTACCCCTTTGTTCTTACCCAGGACCTTAAGTCATCCAGTCCTGATCCAGGCATTCCTGGAGAATAGACTCCTGCCCTTGCATTCTTGGCATTCTTTGGGAGGAGCAGATAAAAGACAAGCAAATAAACAGGATGGGCCCCTGACTGTCACCTCATGGGAGGTTATTATCCCTGGCATTTCCCAGGACAGTGTCCTCACCTTCCACCCTCAACTCCCTGGCTTTGAATAGAACACAGGGACTCATGTTAATTTGTGCTGAGACCATATTTAATTTTTAAAAAAGGAAATGAAGACACTAAAACAGGTTTAGACATAGGAGGGGACCAGATATAACCAAGCCTTTGAAGGTCATTTTCCAAGAGATGCCAGGTGACTTGCGTGGTCCACAGAGGACACCTGGAGACTGGGATGTCCAAAGGTGTGCCAGGCACTGGGGCTGTGTGTGGTATATGCATCCGCCCATGTCCCTAGGCCTGGATTCAAAACTCCAGCTGCTCAGGCTTGTGTTAGAGATGCTTGTTGAGATTTAAACAAAACTGCCACACTGAATGAGTGGAATTCCCATTCTGTGGGATTTCTTACCATTATGCTTCTTTGAGATAATCGTGGATTCACACAAAGATGTAAGAAACAGCACAGAGAGGCCCTGCTGTCTCTGCCAGCCCGCAGAATGACGTCTTGCAGACTCCACAGCATGATGTGACATTGGTGAAACCTGCCCACTCACCCTGTTTACTTCAGGCTCTGTGTGCGCACCTGCACTTGACCTTACACTGCAGCTGTGTGTTCATGTCCATGGTGAAGGGGCAGGACATCACCACAGGTGCTCCTGTCCTGGCCAGACACTGAACCCTAGCAACCACTACTGTCTTCTGCAGTTCTAACCCTAGCTTTCGCCAAATGGTGACACAAATGGTGTGCTAGTTCATTTCCAGCTACTATAATGAAGTCCCTGTGGCTGTGTAACTTTGCAAGAACAGAGACCAATGTAGCTTATAGTTTTGGATATTCAGGGGCCTGGTGCTCATATCAGCTTGGCCCTGTGACCCTGCTATGGTGGGTGGCACCCTGATGGCCAGGCATGCAGAGAGCAGAGATCACATGAAGACGGGAAGCTGGGGCAAGGGCAGGTCCCAGGCTTTCTCTCCCTCTCTTTTTTGTTTAGTAACAGTCTCTCCTGAAAACTTAGGATCCCATGAGAACTAGAGAACTACAACAATCTCTTCCTAGGGCAGTACCCCAAATGACCTAAAGGCTTTCTCAGGCCCCACCCTTGAATGGTCCATCCAGCTCAACACTAGCCCCTGGGGACCCAACTTTTAGTACATGAGCCCCATGGTGAGGGGGACATATTTAAACCACATCCAGGCATAGCAAATGGAACCACACAGGATGCCCGGGCCGAGCTGTTTCTTTTCATCCTGTGTAATTGCCTGGGATGCATCTGTGTGTTTGCAGATCTCAATAGCCATTCCTTTTTTTCTTCTTTTTTCCCCTGGTACTGGGAATCGGACTCACAGCGTCACACTTGCCAGGCAGGTGCTGTGCTGCTGAGCTAAATTCCCAGCCCCTCAATAGCCATTCCTACTGAGTAATGCTCCCTGGTATGGATATACTACAGCTTGCATAACCATTCACCACTAAAGGACATCTGGAGATTTCCAGCCTTTGGTTATCACAGATTAGGCTACCACAGGTTTGGCTACAGGTTTCTGTGTGAACATAAATTTTTATTTCTCAGGGATAAGTGTCCAAGATTGCAACTGCTCAGGGGCTGGGGGTTTAGCTCAGCGGCAAAAGCGCCTGCCTGGCATGCGCAAGGTCGTGAGTTCGGTTCCCGGTACCGGAGAAAAACCAAGATTGCAACTGCTGTATTATATGACAGTGTCACACTTGGTTTGAATAGAAAGTGTGGATATATTGGATATGTGGTTTGCAAGTATCTTCAGTCTATGTGGGCAAAGACTTTTGATAAGAATTTCATTAAACCTATAGATCAGTCAGGCACAGAGGTATGCATGCCTTTAATCTCAGGCACTCAGGAGGCTGAAGCAGGAGGATCACACGTTTGTGGTTAGCCTGGGAAACTTAATGAGACCTTGTTTCAATACAAAAGGGGTGGGGGCTGGGACTATAGCTTAGTTGTACAGCACTTGCCTAGCAAGCACAAGACCCTGGGTCCAACTCCCTACTACTACAAAAAGAAACAAAAAACCCTGTAAGTTGATTTAGGGAGAACTGACAACTTTACTATGTTGATTTGGGCCATCCATGAATATGGTGTGTCTCTCCATTTCTTTAGGTCTTCCTTGATGTTTTCATTTTTAGTATTTTTGTTTGTTTTTTTGTTTTTCTTCCAGTACCAGGAATCGAACTCATGACCTTTCACTTGCCAGGAAGGCGCTGTGCCGCTGAGCTAAATCCCCAGCCCCAAAACTTTCCCTTTTTTTTTTTTTTTTTTGTCTTTTTGAGACAGGGTCTCGCTTTACAGTTCAGGATGGCCTTGAGCTCACTTTGTAGCCCAGGTTGGTCTTGAACTCACAACAATCTTCCTGCCTCAGCCTCCCGAGTGCTGGGATTACAGGCGTACACCACCATACCCTGCCCATTTATATAAGTACTAGCAAATACTTAATTTCTTTGAGGTAATTACAAATGTATTTTGTTTTTAATTGTGGCTTTCAGATGTTCCATGTTGGTGCAGTTTCTAGAAACACAACTGATTGTTGTGAGCTGGTCTCATGTCGTACAGCCATGCTGAACTCTCCTGTTCAGAGCTGGGAGGGGAGGGGCTGGGGATTTATTAGCTCAGTGGCAAAGTACATGCCTGCAAAGCTCAAGGTTGTGAGTTCAATTCCTGGTAACGGAAGAAAAAAACAAAAACAAACAGACAAAAAAACAAACAGCTGGGAGGGGAAGAAGGAGCTCAGCAGCCACTGTACACCCTGCTGAGTGGGGACAGCTCGGATACCTCCCAGGTCTGCAGCTGGTGAGGGGCAGAGCTGCACCTACGCCAAGCCCCTCTGCACTGAAACCAGCGTGGCCCCTTTTCATCTGCCAGGTGTGGTGGAGGGCATCCCAGTCCCAGCACAAAGACAGCACCAGGCCATGGAGGAAGGCTGTGAGGTGCCCAGAGAGAGGGGGCTGTGGTGGCTGGCTTCATTCTGTAGACACATAACGCTCCATAAGAACACACACACATGCTAAAGCCTAGGGCTGTGCAGTTGCTTGTCTGACAAATGTCCCATCTTAGGACACTTGGGACAAAGAGCAGGAGTGACGGTATGTTTGAGGGCAAGAGGCCTCCTGGCTGGAGAAACACCCATCCCCATCCTGCCCAGACAGACCCCACCTTGGTAGAGCCAGCCAGACCCACAGGAAACTGCACTGCCGTTCCCACCTGAATGAAGAGAACCGTGCTTCCTTGCACCCAGGGTTTCTCAGAGGAAACCAGATGGCAGCCTGGCCCTGTTTGTGTGTGTGCGTGTGTGTGTGTGTGTGTGTGTGTGTGTACACGTGTACGCGTGCGCGTGCACTCGGGGCTGGACACACAAGCCCCCAAACCTTCCCCAGTTCCTACCTTGTGCCTCCCCGGACAAGTCTGGCTGTTTGCAGACCGACTACAGCCTTCTATTCCAGGATGGCTGCTCCCTGTGACTCGTTGGGACCCCAGGACTTCGGGGTCCTTTTAAGCATGCACACTCTGCTTCAGGCCCCTTTTCCCACGCCCGTCCCCGTGGGACCCGATCAGCTGTGTCCTGCGGGAAGGGACATTACCCTGGGGCCTATGGCAGGGTCTTCAGTCCTGGCCTGTCACACTCCACCACTCCACCCACCCGCCCCGCCCACCCGATGCGTCACCACGCCCCTGCTTTGGGGGCGGGGCCGACCCGATCGCCGCGTCCCGGCCCTCTGCCTGCGCCCTTATGTCGGGCCCGGGCGGGCCCCGGGGTCAGAAAGCCTGGACTTCGGGAGGCTGGCTTGAGGTGGCACGGGACTGCGGGGACTGGCGGATGCCAGAGGGGGAAGCCGGGGACGGGTTGATGCCAGAGGGGGCCGGGACAGGGGCAGCAGGGAACCTTGGGCACCGCGCGGAGACTGCGCGGGACAGCGGAGACCGGCGGAGAACGGCGGGGCACGCTGGGGACGAGCCAAGCACGCCCGGAAACGGGCAGAGGACAGCAGCGGACCCCGGGGACGGGCCGATGACAGAGGGGGACGCCGGGGGCGGGCCGGGGAGCCCTCGCACCTACGCGCGGCGCTGGCTCTTCCTGCTGGCAGTCAGCTTGCTGAGCTGCTCCAACGCCACGGTACCGCCCCGTGGGGGAAGGGAAGGGCCCGTCCCGGCCTGGCATCCTCGTTCCCGCCTGCCGCTCCCATTCCCCTGCCCCAGCGCCAGGCCAGGCTTCCTTGCCCTTGGACAGGAACCACAGCACCTCAGCACACCCGGGGGGCGCCCTTCCCACTCACCCCCAGGCTCAGGGTAATTGCAGGGTTCACTGCGATGGAGGCTTCCAACGTGTGGTCACCCACACATCCCCATCTCTTCACGGGGGTGCAGAAACCTGCAGGGAATGAGGAAGGTGTGGCCGCCAGCACAGGCTGGGGTCCTGCAGCTCAGGGATCCGGGTGGGATGGCCAGGAAGCTGAGGCCACTTGGGGTTGGAGTCCAGGCTCGGCCCATGTTCAAAGCCCTGTGGGCATCCAAGCCCGGTTCTCCCCGCTGTAGGCTGGGTGTGGTGACTCAGCCCTGAGCCAGGCTTGGGGATTGCTGCTGCAGGTCTCCGGATGAACCAGGGCTTGGCTTGGCTCTGGGCCCCGTGTGTAGAGCCTGGGGGTGTAACTAGCTTTGAGTGGGTATCTGAGGCTGGGTCTCCCTAGTTCCGGGAAGTTTCTGGGAACGTGGGTAGAGGTCCTGCTGTCATTATGGAGCCCACAGAAATCTAGCTATGATACCAAGAGCTGTGGTGATCCCAGCTTGGGTCCCTGTTGTAGGCAGTGGGTTTCCAGAGTCCCCATTTCCTCACTTGCAGCTGGGACCACGGCTGCCAGGCTCTGAAAGGATGGCTGGGGTGAGGCCTGGAGACACAGGAGTCTCCGTGGGAGTTGGCCCACCCATTTACAAGGGGCGGTGTGCTGGACAAGGCTGGGTGCTTGCAGGAGGCATGATTGTCCTCTACACCTGTGTGTCCCCGCCCATCCTTTGGCCCTAGGCTTGGGAGGTGCAAGGACAGAGCTGGGAGGCTGATGAGGGCTGGCTGAGTTCGGTTTGGGGAACAGGCGGTGTGTGCACACCAAGCTTACTGTCTGCTGGGCTGGGCCTGCACAGGCGTGGCCTGACTCTGGAGAAGTCTGAGGGGAAAGGAAAGGAAGAGAAGGCAGCCATTGCTCAAGGTCCCTGCCGCGTGAGGCTCTGGTTTTGCTGCTCTGCCTCTGAGGCATGCCTGGAGCGGTTTGGATGAGGAACTGATTCCTGACACACTTTTGAGACACCCTGTCCTGAGCACCCATGGTCTCCACCCTTCAATGCTGGGTAGTGCTTCCTCTTGGCCTCCCCAAACCCTCTGTTACTTGCTGAGCACACCTGGTGCTAGGTCCAGCCTCAGGCTGGAGACTATCCCCAGTCCAGGAGGCCTCACCTGTCCAACTCAGTTCTCCTGAGGGTGATGCCAGGTCACAGCCCAGCTGTTCATCACCAGTTCACAAACAGGAAGAGCACCCCTGACCCCCAACAGCCCAGCTCTGAGTTGTCCTTCCCTTTGGCTCTGTCCTTGCTAGACCCCTCCTTGGCCCTCTGGACAATGCTGCCAACTGCCTCGCTCACATCCAGGACTCCCACACCTCTTGCTTTGTCCTCTCATATGATGGACACCCTGCAGACAGCCCTCAGGCTTTCCTTGGAGGGTCAGGTCCAGGCCTGGTGGGGTCATCAGCCTCTGTGTCTGCCCCCAGGCTGGTCATCTGCCTGGTGCCCTCCCAGGAGTGATGGTGTGAGGGTTGGTCTCTGGCAGAAAGACCCAGAGGCCATGCCTGGCCTAGGCGGGGGTCCCCATGGCCCTCACAGGACTGCCCACACTGGCCCCTCGGGCTGACTGAGTCAGGCAGCAGGGCAGAGCTGGTGATGGCATCGGTGGCCCTGGCTGATTCCCAGCTCTCTTCACAGCTGTGGCTCAGCTTTGCGCCTGTGGCAGAAGTCATTGCCCAGCACTTCTTCCTGTCCATGGAGCAGGTCAACTGGCTGTCACTCATCTACTTCGTGGTGGCTATCCCCGGTGGCATCGCGGCCATCTGGGTCTTGGACTCTGTGGGGCTCCGGGCAGCAGTGAGTCAGACCCTACCCCTGGCCTGCTATGGGATTGGTGGGCCCCTGCGTTTGGGTATGGGAACCATGGCTTCCTGTGCAGACCAGGGTCTACCAGTCCCATTGGCCAGACCCCCAGCAGAGCTGATGGGCAATGGGGAGGCTGGAAGTTGATGTCCCTTGTGGGCTGGAGTGGGCAGCAGCCTTTGGACTGTCCCTGCAGACCATCCTGGGGGCGTGGCTGAACTTCTTAGGCAGTGCGCTTCGTGCCCTGCCCTGCATGGCTGTCTGGATCCCCAGCCCATTTGCCTTCTTCATGGCTGGCCAGAGCCTCTGTGCCCTGGCCCAGACCCTGGTCATCTTTTCTCCGGCCAAACTGGCCGCCTTGTGGTTCCCAGAGCACCAGAGAGCCACGGCCAACATGATTGCCACCATGTGTGAGTCTTGAGGGGAGGCTTTTCCCAGCCTGGGCTTAGCTTGGGGCTGCCTGGAGCTCCATGGCCAAGGCCAAGGCCCCAGAGCCAGGAAGGTTTCCCTGGGGGCTGGAGATGAATGCTGGCCACAGCTGGGCTGATGGGATTTCTTTGCCTATCTGTCCATCCAGCAAACCCCCTGGGCATTCTTGTGGCCAACCTGCTGTCACCTGCCCTGGTAAAGAAAGGAGAAGACATCCCCTTGATGGTGAGGGAGATCATGAGGTGCACGTGTGGTGCCCCTGCTGTGTACCTGCTCATGTGTATGTGGTATGGGGACCTGTGTGCTGTGTGTACATGTATGTGCATGTAAGTGGCTTGTACACACGTGTTGTGTGCATGTGTGTGGTGTACATGCAGGTTATGGTATGTGTGCACACATGTGAATGTACACCTGTATGATGTAGCTGGGTGTGTTAGCATGACCTACTTATGTGGGAGTGCAGGTGGCCATCAGTTGGGTGAGTTGGGCTGAAAGCTGGGGCCCTGTATGCAGCCCCCTGGTACAGGTGAGTGTATGGTGGTGCTGCCCATCACAGGTTCTGGGGTCCATAAAGGCAGCATGCCACCATGGGGTGCACAGGGGTGCATGTGTCTTCGTGGCCTTTGTGGCCTTACCCCTTCTCTCCAGCTTGGCGTCTATATCATCCCGGCTGGCCTTGCCTGCCTACTGGCCACCACTTGCATCGGGGAGAGTGTGCCTCCCACCCCGCCCTCTGCCGGGGCAGCCAGCTCCACCTCAGAGAAGTTCCTCCCCGGGCTCTGGCTGGTAGGTACTTGGCCTGGGTTGAGTGGGGGAGAGCTCCAGCTAGAAGCCCTGGGTATTGGGCTGAGTGGTGCCTTTCCTCCAGCTGCTGCGGAACAAGGCCTATGTCATCCTGGCCATGTGCTTTGGGGGCGGCATCGGGGTCTTCTCCAGCTTCTCAGCCCTCCTGGAGCAGATCCTCTGTGCCAGCGGCTACTCTAGCGTGAGTGCCAGCTCTGCTTGGGAGAGACCGTCTTTGCTGGGGTTGCCCCGTGTCCCAGTTTAGTGTTCATGCCTCATGGAGACCATAGAGGTGGTGTTCACTCACGTGTGCCTGGCGCATGGCCTCCATATCTCTGCTCTCTTCTCTTCTCTCTGGCTTTCTCCGTGTGGTTCAGGGCACACTGGCCCTAGGGTCTAACCCTGCCTTCAGCAGGCACCAGAGTCCTGGCCTTGGGCCCTGCACCAGTGAGCCTGCCCTCTGCCCCAAGATGTGTGCAGCCTTCCTCCCCCCCTCTAGGAGTTTTCAGGCCTCTGTGGGGCTCTCTTCATTGTGTTCGGGATCCTGGGGGCGCTGATTCTTGGCCTGTATGTGGATCGGACCAAGCATTTCACTGAGGCCACCAAGATAGGCCTCTGCTTGGCCTCCTTGGCATGCCTGGCCTTTTCCTTGGTGAGCGTTCCTGGAACTGAGAACACCCTGCAGGGCGGAGGTGGAGGGGTGCCAGAAGGGGATGGCCTGGCCTCTGCCTGTAGGGGCCCCATCTGACTGGCACCTACTCTGCTCCTTCCTGCCAGGTGGCCCAGCTGCAGGGACAGGCCATTGTGCTGGCTGCAATCTGCTCCCTACTTGGGCTCTTTGGCTTCTCAGTGGCACCTGTGGCCATGGAGCTGGCGGTTGAGTGCTCCTTCCCTGTGGGCGAGGGAGCCGCTACAGGCTTGGTCTTTGTGCTGGGGTGAGTGTCCCTCCCTGGGCCACACACCCGTCCCATGCACAGTATCCTGCTCTGGAGTTTGGGTGGTGCTAGCACCTGGACTGAGGGCCTTGTGTATCCAGGCAGGCTGAGGGTGTGCTTATCATGGTGCTGCTGACAGCACTGACTGTGCGGCGCACAGACCCATCCTTCTCCACCTGCCAGCATGGCGAGGACTCACTAGACTGGACAGGTGAGTGTCCATCACATGGCTCAGGACCCCAGAGGGCCAAGGCAACGAGGTAAGGAGAACTGGCCTGGCCCAGCCTCGGAAGACCTCCCCAACTTCCTGGCCTATCTTTTGATACCTTTTACTCTCCTCGGTGGGTGGTGGGTGCCTGGTGGGCTCAAAAACCTCTGGGCTCAGCTGGTGATGTGCAGCTCAGAGATCTGGGTGAAAACCTAGCCTCGGTACCCCTTAGGTGAGCTCTTTTAATACTAGGGAGAGAGAAACAGAGAGACATGAGGGCAGAGATCTGAGCATGAAAAGGAAAAAAGAAGGCAGAGACAGGAGAAGAGACAGAGATAGCAGAGGCACAGAGACAGGACAGTTGAGAGTGAGCAGAGGTCAGCATGGGCGGTGCACATCCATGTCTGGGTTGTGGGCCTGTACACACCCCAGCTGTTGGGGTGTTTCTGTGGTCACCACCAATGGAGTGTGTGGCTGGCTTAGAAATGCCAGGGGCTCTGCCTTCTAGGCTGCCCAGGCTGGGCTGTCAGGGGCCTGTGACTGCTGAGAACAGAGCTGTGCTTGTGTCCCCAGTGTCCCTGCTGCTGATGGCTGGCCTGTGCACTCTCTTCACCTGTGTCTTGGTGCTCTTCTTCCACACCCCGTACCGGCGTCTACAGGCTGAGTATAGAGGGCTCCCTCCACCAAGGATGCCAAGCCCTACCGTAAAGCCACTCTCTGAGGCTCCCCAGGAAGCTCCTGCCCTGCTGGATCCACTGGAGACCCCAGGATTCTCAGGGGCTGTGACCAGGGACTTGTGTGAAGGGAGGGTGAGGCAGGCCTGGCCATCTTGGCGTGCAGCCCCATGACTTGACAGGAGGGACTGGCTCAGGTCCCGAATACCCCGGGTGAGGCAGGATGTCCCTGGGGCCCCAGGTGGACTGTGGCTGCAGCCCGCAGAGCCCTGCTGTGTGGACCCTGACCAGGCCCAACCCAGGGCCAGTGCAGGAGGGCACGAGGCGCCTCCTGTAGCAGGCAGGGATCTGGGCAAGTCGAAGAGGTGGGCGAGTGGTGCGGACAGGTGAGGGGTCAGCCCAGCAGGAACCCAGCTGGCCCCCCACCCACTCCTCGTTGGTCCCCAGACCCCTGTGCTGCATCAGACATGTGCAGGTGGATCGTGGGTCCACGTTTATTGAGCCAGTATGGCCTGCAGGCTCACTCCTACTCCCCACGGGTGAGCACCAAGTTCAGCACCTTGTAGTCCAGGTTGCCCACAGCATCCACAGAGGTGAACTCCAGCAACTGGTCCACCAAGAGGCGGCGGGCGGTCAGACTCTGCGGTCCAAATACAGATGCCAGACAGATGCTAACACAGCTGCCTCGGGTGGTGTTTGGGGGGGGGGGGGCCACAGCGAGGTGGGGGTTGGGCAGAGCAGGGGGAAGGGGTAGGTGGGGTGGATGGGCAACACTTAGGGTAGGGTGGAGGGGCAGGGTAGGGGTGTAAGGGTAGAGAAGGGTGTGGTGGGGCAGAGCCTGTGATGGTGTGGAGCGCACAGACCTGTGGCCCCAGGGCCTCAGGCTACCATCTGTCAGTGGTGCCAGGATCCAGTCCCCACCTTTGGGCACCATGGGGGGAGCAGAGGTCTCAGGTGACACTGGCTTGGGGGTGTGGATTTGGGCTGGGGTTGAGATGGCCCTGCTCTGAGCCCAGCCCCTTGGACAGGACAGCACACAAGGGACTGAATAGCCTCTGGCTCTGATTTAAGTGCTCCCCAGCAAACTCCCTCCACCCTGTACAGCCCCCCAATCCTGTCTTCCCCATCTTGTCCACAGCAGCACTGCAGCACCCTCTGACTGACTCAGGGGTGTGCTTGGTCTGTAGAGGCCGGAAGGGTGGGGTGGGGTACAGGCACCTTGGTGGCCGTCACCTTGTCAGCTTGGGACATCAGCAGCCATTTGAGGAAGGGTGAGGAGGCTGCTGAGTGCCCACCTGGCTCCCCTGTGGGATACATGGGGTGGGGGTTGACGGGTCTGAACCCTACCTCCACTGCAATCCTGGGCATCCACTGATCACCGAAGCCCATGGACACCTGAGCCTAGGGAGCAGCTGATGGGCTCAGAGGCTGCTGGAATATTCTCTGTCCCTGCAGCTGGCCTGAGGGGACTCAGCCCATAAACCTGAAGGCTGAGCAGGAGCTGGAGGACCCATGACCCCACCCCACCCCCAGCTGGGCTCCCACTGGGTTACCCAAGGACTGGGATCTCTGAATGGCCCCTGAAGAATGGGAAGTGGGCCAGCTCCGGCCCTGTCTGAGAAGCATGCTCCACACACTCTGGGCTGGGCCCACGAGGAAGCCAGCACTCACTACTCCTTGTGGATGCTGCCTTTGCCATCCAGGTCCAGCATCTTGAAGGCATTTGGGATGGTCTCCTTGGTGTCACTGCCTGCTGCAGAAGCCTCAGGGCGCCGCCTGCCCAAGGCTCCAAGCGCCTGCCCACTGTGAGAGGCCTCCCTGTCATTTTAGCCCTGGCCTGCAGCTGGGTTAGTGCAAGACAGAGGCCACCGGCAGCTGGCAGCTGGGAGGCAAGTGTCTGAGCTCAGGTCTTGTCAGGATTGGTCCCAGGCTTTTTAGGAGCTGGGAAATAGGGCTTTTCTGGTGAAATGTCTGAATTTCTAGGTGTTAGGTACTAACTGTACGAACACAGGGGTCTCACTGGCCAGCTTCTCCCCCAACAGGTTCAGGAACATGGTGAAGTTGATGGGCCCTAAGGCCTCCTTGAGCAATGTCATCCTTTATGTTGGTTTTGCCTGTTGGGTAGCGTGCGGTGTCCCTGGGCAGGAAGGTCACCACAGCCCTATCTCTGCTGACTGCCAGGTGACCCCATGGGGCTGGCCACTCTGTCACTCTCCAGGTGACCCAGAGTAGTGCTGGGTACTACAAGACAGGAGGAGGCCTCAGCCCTGGGGTATGAGGCATGCGCAGGGAGGGGTGCCCTCCCTGAGTCTGGAGCTGGGCACAGTGGCTGTGGCAGAGGGGGAGACACAGGACAGGGCAAGCTGGGGGCTGCTGCTCTCTGTGGTCAGGCATGAGGTAGGCCAGGAAGGAGGGCATTTACCTTGGACCCTGACCCTGGGGAGAAACCAGACTGCTTCCCAGTTCCCAGGGCAGGACCAGAAAGAGGGAGGCAAGGCTGCTGGAGAGGGCTGGAGGGACCACTGGGCTCTGAGGGAGGGACAGGCCCTCACAACCTCCCCAACTCCATAAGCCCAACCCAGGCACTCATGCTTGGGCTGATCCACTGGTCCTGTCCACCTAGATGCTCTGGGCAACCTGGGGTAGGTCAGGTCTCCCTCCTGGAGGAGGCAAGACACCTCTCATGGCCTGAGGGGCGACAGCTGTCAGGGACAGTGCCCTTGCTTAGCAGAGGAAGCAGCGCAAGGGTGTCCATTCTGCCCACACCTACTGAGGCAGGTGTAGGTGCCCTTCAGGTCCTCCTTGTTGATGAAGCCTTCCTGGTTCTGGTCAGTTAGTGTGAATGTCTAGAAATCAAGGCAGGCCCGTAGGATCGTGGCTGACTAGCTCTGCCTCTGCCTCTGCCTCCTCACCCATGGACAGGCAGCCGCAGGTCCACGCTGGGTTGGGGGCACCTGGTGGGAGAGGGACTCACCTTCAACTCCTGGATCTGGGTCTGCTCAAAGTTGGAGAAGACTTGGAGGAAGCCTGCTGGGCACACAAGGCACAATTCCTTCTTCTTGGTCTTCCTGCTGGCCTGAGGCAGGAGCACTGAGGCTAAGGGTCCCCCGGTACTGCTGGAGGACCCTCAGTGGCACCCTGTGATTTGGGAACCTTAACTCAATGAGGGGACTCCACTTGGAGCTGGAGGGGCCCAGAAAGTATGCTGTTCCCAACCCCAGGTGCAGGGGGAAGCACAGTGAAGTGATCCCCAAAGCCCTGGCAGAGCACAGGGCTTAGGATCATCTTGCAGTACGTGGCCCTGGAGGGGTCCAGGGAAAAGGGACGTCATGATGGGCATGTTCTTGGCATCAGGGTTTCTTGAAGGCCTAAAACCCTCCTTCATCTTGCCCCAGACTCACCAGGGCACCCCTGGAGCCTGTGCTTCTCACCCATAACCATGCACTTGGGTGCACGTGCATGTGCGCACACACACACACACACTCATGTCCTGCCCTGTCACCTGCTGGGCCACTCACCATGCCTGAGTCTTCCTGCCCAGGTCCCATTCCACCTGTCTTAAGCTCCTGCCTGGCCCCCTAGGACAGCTCAGGTTTCAGCTGCCACTCCCTGCAAGGACAGGTTCAGGGTCACTCAAAGGACTGGACAACTGCAGAGCGAGCATGGGCAGCTTAGCACTGACTCAGATCGCCCCTGCCCCCAGCCTCTCCAGGCCTGCATGCTGTGTCTCCAGTCACCTGCCACGCCCTGGCTAGCACCTAGGGTCTGAGAGTCAATATGACACCCAGGCCCCTTTGGGCAACAGAAACAGCGTGTCTCAGAGGAAGCTGCCTTTTCCAGATGGGCACAGCGGTACAGAGTGACCCAAGTGTTTGGCCAGCACTTGTATGTGTCAGGGCTCCCACTCAGATCCACCAGCAGAGCTCCTGGCCCGGGCCATATGGCAGCAATGGCTCCTTGGCTGGCCCAGGGGGATGTTTCTGGGGTGGACCAACCTTAGAGATGGCCAGGCTACCCTGAGGGCCTGGGATGGGGCACATTTGGCCTGGTTCCCCAGGTCTTCCTGTACTCCCTGGCCCAGTAGGGGAAGGAACCTGTTGTTGGTGCTGGAGGTCAGGTCCCCTGGTCCAGGAAGTGGGAGACAGGGCAGGAGAGACAGGTGGGTAGGCTGGGCCCCGAAGGTGTAGGCCTGGAGAACAGGCTTTGGAGGGCTACCCCAAACCTCAGCATGAGGGTGGATGTGGGTGCATGTGGCCGCTGTGCTGGGTGCTCCTTCCTCTTTCCCACATCTCTGAACTCCAGCACATGGCTACAGAGTGTTCACTGTAGCAGAGGCCCTGCACCCCAAGGACACAGCCTGTCATGGAAGCTCCCTTCCGGGTGCTGCTGCCCAAGACCCCCTAAGCCAGCAAGACCAAGGAAATCACACACCTGGGAGACTCTGAGTGGGAGCACGTGACCAGGTGTGAGGGCTAGGCTGGAAGGAAGGGCCAGTTCCAGGGCTCAGGGTTGGGGTGTGACCCTGCAGGGGTGGGGAGCCCCAAAGGTGAGAAGGCCACAGAGCCCCAGGGAGGGTCCTGAGCTCAGTACTGAAGACAGCAGTAGAGCTGGGAGTATCAGGATTTTGCACGCAGCTGACCCTGACAGGTGCAGAGGTCCCCACTGGGACCCTCCCTCCTCTGCCTGAGAGCCTGACCTGAGGCAGGTTTCTTTCCTGGCACCAGGGGTCTTCCCTGGTCAGTGGTGCATAGGTGTCTTCTCTGCCAGCCTCCACCCCTAGCCTGCTGCCATTGCCCTGGGCCTACAGAAATACTCAGTTTTAGTTCTGGAAGTTGAGTTGCTGAGGAATGTGGGTTATTTTAAATCTAGTGAAGGGAAAACTCATGGTCACCTGAGGTCATCTTATTATAGGCAGCTAAGTTATATAGAAATTAATATACAGTCAGAGAGGGACTGAGCCCTCAAAGAAGTTGGCACAACAAATAAAGACATCAAGATGAGCATGGTGGTGCATGCCTGTGATCCCAGCACTTCGGAGGCTGAGGCAGGAGGATTGCCATGAGTTTGAGGCCAGTCTGGACTACATAGCAAGACCCCGTCTAAAAAAAAAGCAAACAAAAAACTCCAACCAAATAAATAAATGAAATAATAAATAAATAAATATATCAGAATTGTGGTTGGAAATATATCTGAAGAAGGCCAGGCCTCAAGATAAAAATGCAATGGCCAGGCCTACACGCCTCCCCAAGAGATAAACAGTAACATGAAATTATACTGTATTAGCACCACCTAGTCCAGTAAGTCCAGCTAGGCCTCAGTTGCACAAGTGGGTGACCAGAGCATCTGGACCTGTCCTCTCTCAAAATATCTTTGTTCTTTTCATGTACCCTTGTTACATGTTTTGTTTTCCTATTGGAACAATATTAGCTAAGTAGCCCTGGGAAAGGAGTATATAGAGATAACTATTAACACCTGAAGGACCAATGGCTTCCAGAGCTGGCCAAGCCTAGGAACACTCCTTCCAGCCACTTGGGCCTGTTGCACCAAGTCACTTTTGTCTGAACACAATACTTAAGGAACTGAGAAACTGGGCATGGCATGACGTTTGTCTCATGCAAGATCCTTTCCCAGAGGATTCCCCTTCATCTTTGGTGCTTTCCTCTGCCTCGCTGTGTGGTAATATATTATTTGACTATGCTCATAGCTGCTGTACTTTTTTTTGAGACAGGGTCTCACTATGTAGTCCAGGCTGGCCACAAACTCATGGTGATTCTCCTGCCTCAGCTAACCTCACGTTCACTATATAGCCCAGACTGGTTTTGAACTCACAGAGATCCGCCTGCCTCAGCCTCCTAAGTGCTGTATGTGTCACTATACCCTGTGCTCTGTACTTTTATAACAAACTGACTTACATCTTTTAAAAATCTTTATGTGGCTCTCTCTCTGCAGATCTGAACCTCAAATTTCTGTGATCACATATATGTGACTCCTCGCTGTCACACACTGCAAACTCTGCACATTTGACATCTAATAGATCAGGATTTATATTTCTCCTATATCAATCTTCCCAGAAGCTCAAGGGCAGGAAGAGAGGGTGAAGGGTATCTTGTGGGGTCAGGAGGCCTGAAAACCATGGTGCTGAGGAAGGATGGGGTCTGCATCTTTCTTGGGGCTGGACTCTGGCCTGCCTCCCCAGGGTGGGCATGAGCAAGGAGTCCTTTGGGATGGTTGTGGTGTTCTGGCCCCTAGCTAGGCTCCCTGCTGCCAGCTGAGGGGCTGGCTCTGGGGTGCACATGAAGTGGGGCTGGTGTATCACGTTTGCAGAGCTGCACTGTGTTTTTTTGGAAACTGGGATTTGTGGAAGAGTGGGAACAGGTGGGCTGACAGGGCTGTCACTGGACTGGGTCTGAAGGATTTCTGAAGCTGAGGTAAGGAATTTAACACACCCTCTTTCAGCAGGATCGTTGACCCCCACTGGGGGTCAAAAATTTTCAGGGCTCCTCAGTAAAAGGCTGAAGCATTTATCAGAGATTTAGGACACACTCAAGAGCAAAATGTGAGCCCTCGGAGAAATGAGGTGCATTTCCTGGAAGAGGAAACATGCTTTTTTTTTTTTGAGACAGAGTCTCCCTATGCAGTTCAGGGTGGCTTCGAACTCACAACGATCCTCCTGCCTCAGCCTCCTGAGTGCTGGGATTACAGCCGTGTGCCACCACGCCCGGCTAGAAGCATGCTTCTTGAAGGGTTGGAAATCCCAGGAAAAGGTGGCTCCTCTCTTCCCCGCAAGGGTACTAGCTCACTGTACTGCACTGGGATGGGTTTTTTTTTTGGTGTGTGTTTTGTAATTAAAACATTGCTTTTTTTTTTGCCTTTTTGTTTGACACAGAGTCATCCTATACAGTTCAGGCTGGCCTTGAACTCAGAGCCGATCTCCTGCCTCTGCCTCCTGAGTGGGGGGGATTACAGGTGTGCGCTACCATGCTAGGTGAAATCATTCTTTGGACTCTCTCCACTTGCTCCTTTATCTTAGGATCAGATTCCTGCTCTCCTACTCTTTAATTTCTCAGTTAAGCCAATTTATGGATTTTCAGCATTCCTGAGGAATTTTGTGTGTGACAGGATCCCAAATTTAACCAAAGAAATGCTGATATGGATAGCCTTGGGTGGTCCTGTAAGTTGCAGTTTTCTTAAAAATACAACTTTGCAGGAAAATCGTGGCCAGTTCGAGGCCAACCCGGACTACCTATCGAGACCCTGTCTCGGAAAAAAAAAAGTACAAGTTTTAGTTAATCATCTTGTCTCTATCGTACCTTTTACTTCTTTATTTCCTACCTGAGTGGGCCTCCGCGCACCCCAGCGGGGGCCCCCGCGGGAAGGAGGCGTGGGGAGGGATCCTAACGGACCCTAGCGCTCCGTGGCCTCAAGGTCTGGGTCGGGGGACCCAGGGACAGCTCTGGTCGCTGTAGCCCTCCTGGGAAACCGCCGGTCGTCCTGGGGCGCAGCACCGAGGGCCCCGGAAGGCCGCGCTTCGGATCGCTCCGCACGGTCCCGGATTCCCGTAACGCACGCCTGACCGCGCCCCAGAGCTGCAGGAGACCGGACAGGCTCCGAGAGTCTCCGCTCTCCGGCGCTACCCCCGTATCCCGGCCCTCGCGCGCCTGCGTGCGCCGTGACGTCATCACGGAGGGGCGCGCCACTGACTGTGGCCACCAGAGAGAGTCGCCCTGCTCCGCTCTCCGCTACGGCGCATGCGCGCGCTGCCCTACCCCGGGCCTCTCTGCGTTCTCCGCGCGTTCTCCTCCGCCTGAGTTGTGCTTCCGGCGCGAAGGTCAGGGACAAGATGGTGCCGCCGGTACAGGTCTCTCCTCTCATCAAGGTGAACGCCTTGTCGGTGGCGCCGCGCGTCCTCCAGTCCCCTGCGTGCCCTTTTCCGCGCCCCCTTCCCTCGGCCCCGCGCCCCCCGCCCCGCGCCCCCGGC